ACACTCATCCACTCCTCTAAGTGATATCGATCTTACTTCCTGTCTTTCCTTCAACCTGGCAGTCAGGTAGGAGGCCTGCCACTGTTGTTCCCTGGGGCCAGAAAATGTATAGGAAATGATCCCTTGGTCTCTGAAGGTTTTCCTGAGGCCCCAGAACTGTTCGATTTTCGGCCTTGGCATTGCTGTCCCTCTCAAACTCTTTTGGGGGACTTGATGTGCCAACGGCTCTTTCATGAAGGGGTCTGAGAATGAGATCCCAACCTGGGATGGACATAGTGACCAAAAGACGAGGGTTGATTCTGATGTGAAGTGGTTGTTTTGGGTACTAACTGAAGGCTACTCAGCATGTGGATGGGGAGGACGACAGCTGCAGTCCCACACAGGATCCTGAAGAGTTAGAATCTCAAGTTCACTCCCACTCTCCTGCATCAGAATTCCAGTAAGATCCCAGCTGTTTGCTAGGCCTGGGACACAATGGCCTTGGGAACACAGCAAGACGCAATAGGCTTGTACAAATCACAAAGCATTGCAGTCATCAGCCCCAGACCTCTTGCTTGCTTCCAGCACAAAGTTAGACTCCTATTCACTGAGGTTCTTAGGTCTGTATCACAGACCTGTCTGCTGGTGCACGTTCTGGGAAAGGAGCCCAGTGCCAGGACAAACTCTGCTCATTTTAGGGGCCTCTACTGTTGTGTACCCCCAAGTTGGAACCAACCCATAGCTGACCCTTTGGTGAGTTTTCAGAGGCAGTTAATCACACAGGAGATTGCTCATCTTTCTCCCACAAAGCAGCTGATGGGTTCCAACAGCATGCCTGAGGGACTGCAGGGCAGGTTCTTGCCACTAGGCCATCAGAGCTTCCTAAATGGGGGCCTTGGCTGCACAAATGGCACAGCCTTCAGCTATTCAACAGTGGAACCCACGAGTGGCCCCTCCAAGACTCGGCAAGCCACCGCTGTAAAGGCTGCTGTCAGATGCCTGAGTCAAGCCTGGCTCATGGTGACCTTATGGGCAACAGAAAATGCTGTTTTGTGCCACCACTAATTCCTTGCTGTTAAAGGCAGATGGCATTACCATTGTCTCAAGGTGTCATCTTCTCACTGACCCTTTACCAATGCCAGCACTGCTAGTACATTCCCTAGGGAGCTGCACTACTAATGCAAAGGCAGCGCCTCTCTGATGGTTCAAATCCACCCAATGTTTCCTCCCATGCAATTTAGTGTTAGGGTCAGCTGTGATGGGTCCTTCCTGAGTAAGACATCCAAAGTACATCAGAAGAATTCTTACCATCTCTTGTGCCTAAGGGTCCATGATGACGAGATAGTTACCATTGCATAATTCCATGCCATGTTTTAGGGACTCTGACAGTTAACTCCACCCACTGAACCTGGGGGTACATATGAAAGTAATTCTCCCACTGTCCTACGATGAATCCAGTGTGGATTCAAGGCAAATGTATCTGGTAAGGTGGAAGACATGATGGAAGCCCATCTTCAAGGGCAGACGGAAGTTTGGAGAGCCTCTGGGGTCCCCATCTTATCTTTGCCACCCACCACTGTATGTTGTGGTGTGCCACAGAGTCAGAAGCGACTCCTAACTGACCCTCTAGGTTTTCAGAGGCAGTAAATTGAACAGGAGACTGCCCATCCTTTCATAGAGCAGGATATGAACTGTGTACCTTGGGATTGCAGCGCAGTTTCTTACCAGTGCTGTAGAAGACTGTGTATACAGATGACTTAACTGCCCCAGTTCTCTCCCTTATTGTCAGGGTGCAGTTAGTGCATTGTTTAACATCTGTTAGGTATTGTTTACCCAGCCCATTGCTTTGATAGGAGCACTTTGGCTAAGACGTGTCCTTTGAACCCACTAGCTGCTGCCCAGTGAGGAAGATACCAGAATTAGCTTGCAGACATACATAATCCCATTCCACAGGCGTCCAAGGTGTGAAGCCTTGCCTACCCTGTGGGAAGTTCTACTGTCCTCTAGGGTTACTACAAGTTGATAACTGACAAAGGGTAATGGGCTTATTTAAAATGGTTTTTATTTACTGTCCAAGGTGAGAGTAAGGCTCCACGCTACTGCTGCAATTTCTGCTCCAGGTTCCAAGCATCTGATTCTCAGTCCCTTCCACCACCTTCATGTCTCATCCTAAATTCCTTCTAAACTCACTAAAAAATATCAGGAGCACCCCCTCAAATCAAGGTGTTAGAGCTGTTAGCTCTCCTTGAATTTTTAAGTGTTGCAAATTAGAGTGACAGTTCAATACATGACCATTCCCCTGTATATAGGAGCTATCATCAGAGGTCCAGGACTACAGGGCCCCATCCAGTCCAGGAAGTCCCTTAGAAGTCCACCCAGAAGCCTTCACTTCTTTTATATCTTGATCTGGACCAAGGTCTCCCCAGTCTGCACATTCTATCTCTTCACTAGATGTACACGTTTAATTCATATTAAGTAAGCATGGGCCAACTCCTCGACATAGAGGTTTCTCCTGCTCCCGCACACCTTTGCCCTATAGTTTCAAGAGCATGTGCCTGGGGTGACCTTCTCAGCACAGCTTCCCTTGGTAGAACATCCTGGCTGCTAGCACTCAATTACCCCCTTAAGAAAGAAGTGTTTTTAAAAGTAGGAAGATCTTTTCCCATGATGTGCTAAAAGTATGATTTGGTTAAAAGGAAATCTTCAGAGCTAAGGCACCTATGTGACTGAGATGCTATTCTATGGGTCAGCATTTATCACACTACACTTTCAAGAATAATAAAACGTACTCATCAGCCATCTTGGGGAGACTGACTGCTGAGACTACTGACATCCACTTCCCTGTCCATGGTCTTGTTCCACACACCCACTAGGGGCACCTGGCCCTGAAGGAGGCCAGGGTGGTAGTTGAGCCTGTGCCTCCATCACCCCCCAGGGTCTTGGCTCAGCAATGGCCTCTGACCACAGCCCCCAAGGTTATATCTGTGGTCAGAGCATCATCCTTGGATAGCAGCTTCTCCTCACTGATTCACCAGAGCCTGACACCTACAGTTCTGGCAGCACCCTGCCATCAGTTCTGGGGTGCATGTGCAGGAAGGGAGGCTGTGCTCTGGTTTCTAATGAGGCAGTTGGCTGGGAGAGGGAGGAATATCCATGTGGGCAGTGGGAAGTACACTGGCATTCGAGCCACCTCTGGGTCACCATAGGTGAGGCCAGCTCTGGCCTCCCAGCCTTGGTCCAGAATCAAGCCCTCCAGCGGATCACTTGGCCCACTGAGTCATCCCTGTGACCACTGCTCTGGACCTTCCTTGTATGAGTGAACAAGCAGAATCATGTCTTACAAAGAACAGAATCCAAAAAATATATATCAATAAATAAAAACCTTAAACATTCTTACATAGATTTTAAAAGAACAGAATACATAGTAAAAACTTCAGTAATTTATATCAATTTTAAGCAGTACTTTATATACAATGGGATGGGGGAGGGGAGAGAAACACATGCATAG